ATTAATATTTTATTAAGTTGGATACCAAATTTTTTTGCATTTGAATTTTGGATCTTTGAGATATGATGAAAATAGTACTTGGGTTTTATAAATTAGGATTTAGAATACTTCCTAAGATTTCTAAGATGCCACATGATTTGTAATAAATTTATAGTTTATTTTTTTTTGTAGTAAAGCTTAAGAGAAAATTCTTCATTATCCAAAAATTTGAAATAAATTGAACAATTGGATTAAGAATTATGAAATTTTAAAATTCAAGGAAAAAAAAATCTTTTTTAGAAAAAAAATGTTTTGAAAGAGTTTTGCTACAATTTGAAAATTTTATGCAAAATAAAGGGATTTTTGGAAGCCAAGACTTTATATAATTATTGAAGATAGAGATATGGAGCCATGAAAAAATTATGATATAAAGATGAGTTTTGAAAAAGAAATTATGGATTCTTTTTGGAATTATTAAAAATCTAACTTATCAGCAAATGATTAGTTATGATTTGATATAACAAAGGATGTTAGCAAATTTTTAGATGCTCTAGAAAGCTTTATATATAAACCTTATCAAATATAAAATAATTTTACTAATAGAATATCTTTTGATATTGTTGTATTTATTTATCTTCTATAATAAGAATACATTTCTTAGTAGAGCTTGGTCAATAAGTTAAAGCTAAATTCTCTACAGTTACATACCTAATGTATTTTCAGATCATAAATTATGCCATACAATAATGTGTAATGCATGGCTAATTTATTGATCAAGTTTCTAATTTATCAATTAACTAAAAATACATGTAAAGTCAAAGCAGCTTCTATAAAGCTTCTAGAAAGCTTTTCTAGAAAATATTATAAAATAAATATACTTTTACCTACTTCTTCTTAATCATATAGGTAATTATTAGAATAAATATATATGTCTATGACATTATCTTTTCTTCTATGGACATAACCTTAGGAAGCTTCTCAAAAAAAATTTATATCACTTGAAGACAAAGCAATAATAGATAGCTTCTCAAATAACTTGTTTAATCCTCTTAAAACATTGTAGAATTTGCTAGAATATTTCGAGAACTTTTAGAAATTTTTAAGAATATTTTTAAAACATTTCATTAGAATATTTAAAAAATATTTTATAACCTTCTAAAATTAGATTAATTATTTTAATAATATTTTTAAAATCATCTTCTTAGATGTCTATAATACCTTTTTAAGTAGCAAAGGTAGCTAATCTAAGTAGAGAGAAGTTTTTGAAGGACTTATATTATAAATTGTTGTAATATTGATAAATATATAAAATAAAAAATATGTGTTATAAACATTAAAGATGATATTTTAACTTAGATAAGGTTCAAATTCAAAATTTGTCACCTTTTTTTTAAATTAAAAATTAGATAATTTAAAAATATTTGACATAATATTTTTATAAATATATATTTTTTTATATTTATATTTATTCTTTTATTCTTTGATTTATAATTTTTTACTACTTTATCTATTTATAATATATATTTTATCTTAAGTTTTGAAGTTTTTAGGAAACAAATTGAATAAATATGTAGGAATAAAAATTAATTTTTTATTAAGATCCAATTAGTCCTTGAAATTATTTGATATTGTAGTTTAAAAATTTTCTAAAAATTATAATTCTTGTAAAATTTAATTTTTGGATATTATTTTTTATAGTTTCAATAACATAATAATTTTTTTATTTATTTATTTGAGAGGCAATTTACATCTAAAAGCCCATTTTAAAAGACCATGGTTTTAAAGTTGTACTACGGTTCCTCATTTGTTAAAGAAAAGCATGTATTTAGAATGATTGTTCTTCTGATAAAGTACATTGTAAGAAGATGCAATGAAAAATAAATAAATAAAACAAATAAAAATTATAATAAGTCTAAATATTTTAGAAAAAAATCATTTCTATTTTTTAATAGTCTATTTAAGTGTATATCGACGCATCCTCTTTATTTACTTTTAAAAGCTATCTCTTTAAGACTAGTCTAATAAAATTTCCAAATGACATAACTATTCTACTATATAAGAAAATATTATATTCTATCTTAGGTTTTCTTCTTAGGGTCTTTAGACTTACTTTTCTAAGTATAAAGCTCGGTAAAAGAAAATTCTTATTTTTAATCAATTAAAATATTTAAAAATTAAAGCATCTTATTTTCTCTTGTAAGTAAAAATTGCCTCGCAATAAAAGAAATTAAAAAAACCTTTGTTAAATATTTACAATCTTAATATATTTTTAATCAAAATATAATTTTTTGATTTTTGAACTCTGAGATGAGTTCTTAATTGATATGGATTTATATACGAATAATATGGTATAATTTATATAGATTTATATTTTTAAATTATTATTAATAAGATGAATATGTTGAATTTTTAATAATTATTTATTCAAATATTATAATAATATTAAATTAAATATCTATTTTTATTTTTAAAATTTAAAATTTAACCCAATTAAATTATTAAATTATTTTTTATTTTTAAATACTAATTTAATAATATAAGTAGTAATTTTTTAATAAAATACATCAAAAGTTAACTTTTGATATATGTGATTGAATTTAGACTATATGTGTATAAATATTGTTAATTAAAAAGCTAATATTTATATATATATTCTAATAAATACTTTTTAGGAATTTTTTTTGATGAGAAATTTCTCTTAATTAAAACAAATAAGTAAGATTATAAAATTAAAACATATAAAACAATAACACATAGATTTAATATAACTTATATATCCATATGTAGATTTGTAAGATACAATAGTTAAGTTTCTTTTGTGTTATAAAAATGGTTTCTACCATAAGTTTTTACTTTATATGTATTATAACAAAAGGTATTATGATTGCTTACTTTGTATCATTGTTAGTAGTCCATCTTCTTATTATGAATTATTAAATTTGAAACAATAAGAAAAAATATAACAATTTTAATCAATTTTTTTGATTGATAAGTATTTAATATTTACTTATTTATCAAGTTTATTTATAAAAATAAATATTTTTATTTAATATAAATAAATTTTAATTGCTAAATATTATTCGTAATATATATAATATTTACAATATAAATTATGTTTTTTTATGCTTAGTTTAGATATTTTTAATACATAATCAAAAAATAAATTATGCTTTTTTATAGGACCATGATTCAATTCAACATGTAATACAACTATTTTTTGTGGTTTTATTATTTAACATACAGACATATATATATATATATATATATATATATATATATGCTTTTTTTAATATATTTTTTATTTTTTTATTTTTGTATTTTTTGTATTTATGTTTCTTTGAACCTTACTTTTTAAACATAAGATAAGTAATTTTACATATATCACAAACTAAGACTATTTGATTCTAATATAATTAATATGTTTTACTTCTTAATGACAAAAAATTGACAAAGTTTAGGATTTAGACTCTAGATTTAAAATCTATAATCAATTGTCAATAAGGATTAGGTTATTAATTCTAATTTCAATTTGGGTGATTCTAAATTTATAAAATATTCATAAGCTTTGAATCCAATTTACATCCAAAATACTCATAAGCTTTAAATTCAAAAAATTTAATATTTTATAAATTTAGATTCAAAATATTAAATGGTAAAAGTAAATAAATAAAAGTATACTTTACAAGCTTTAAATTTTACGTATATTCATAAAGTATAATTTTTTTATTTAATTTTATAATTTAATATTTAAAAAACTAGAAGCCTTTTATTTTATTATGGTTAGAACTTGTTAAATGACTTTTAAATTTAAGTATTCTAAAAAAAATTTTAAAAGAATAATTTTAAAGTGATAAAACTTTAAACCATTATAATATAAGAATTTTTTTTGTTTTAGAGTATATCACAATATTAAAGAATTTCTTGGAATTTTAAAGTAAATTTATTGACTAAAAATTAAAGTTGAAAATTTGTATATATCTGCAATATACTACAATTAAAAAAATAGCATTGGAATAAATAAAATTTAAATAAAATATTAATATTAATAAACCTGAATTCATATATATATATATATATATATATATATATATATAATAAATTTTAAAAAAATATCTAAGTTATATGTTATATACATTAAATATATACTAAGTTTTTATACTAAATACTTAGAAATATTTTTACTTATTCGAAGTGTTTTATGGCTGGTAAATGATTTAAATGAAATAAGTTATCCCTATATTTTTTATGAAATTCATTATTTTCTTTATTTTTTTAAACACTTTATCTTTTGAATCTAATTTAAGGATACATGTATCATTTTATTTCATATTTGAAAATTGCATATAATAGATTAGTTACTTTATTTTCTATTTTAAAGCTACAAGACAAATTCAAGTTATATGATGTTAAATTTTAAAGTATATAAAGATGTTGTACAAAGTAAAGATTTTTTTGATTCAAAATATCAAATAATTTTATTTTTATATTATATATTCTCTCTCTCTCTCAATACATATTTATTGGAATGTAAAACTAAAGCCAACTTAATATTAACTACTCAGCATGTGCAAATAAGTTTATAATATTATAATTCTGTTTGAAACACATAAATATTTAATATACCAGGTTTACATAGTCTATTTATTCGTTAATATGTGTTACCAATACTATAAATAAAGAGGTTTTATATTTTCACTATCTACTGCAGTTCATATATGTTTATATTTAATTTCTAAGACTAATTTTACTATATTTATATTGATTTTTTCAGTTAGTATCAAAAAAGCTTTGACTAGTTTTGAAGAATCATTGTGTTTAATATGGCTAATAATATTCTAAATTAAAACCTCAGATTCCATGGCCAAGGAAGGCACCAGCACTCGGCGATGTGCTGCTGGTACCCCCCTTCCCTCTCCCCCCGTGTCCTTCCTTCCTCCTGCGAGAGCAGTGGCAGTTTGCATTAATCTCCACACAGACCAGGTACACACTCTGAAAGGGAGTGCCTCCCCCCCTCACCCCCCACCCTCTCATCGTCGTAATGGAGTTTATATGGATGTGCTACCCTTGTTTCGTCTTCTACTTCACGACCATGTAACTTTCATCTCTCTACCACTGCTGCTGATGCTGTTGTTGTTGTAGTTGTTGTTGCTTTTGTTGTGTCCAACCAGCTCCAGCGCACTCTCCCTCTTCCTCCATCGTCTGTCTGCCTGTCTGCCTGCTTTTTTTTACTGCCAATGCTGCACTCGCTGCCTCGTCATGCTCTGTCTGTGATGCCTCCTCTACCATGACCACGACCACGACGTCGATGCTGCTTCAGGATCAGGAGCAGGGAAGTGTGGAGGCCACGGTGCAGGTGAAGGATAGCATCGTCACCGGAGCAGTGTAGGCGGGGGTAATGAGAAGCGATCAAAGGCTGTGGGAAGTACGTAGGCTGAAGAATCGTATGGTGTTCGCAATCTAAGAGACTCTCCTGAGGATGCAAAGTAGTGACCAGACAATCGTCGATGATTGATTCTGGTGTCAGGGGAGGGGAAGAGTGGCAGCAGGAATGGATGGATACGCAAGCAAGGTGATTCGGAGAACGTACAGGGAGGTGCTGTGGCGTGACATCAAGAAGATTAGGTGAGAGGTTCTTGTCGCTGTGCTGTTTGCTGCTGTGCGCCACGCGCTGGGGCTGTGGACTGAGCTTGGTTTTGAAATGCGTCCCCTAGAGCTTGCCGGGCATCGGCTTTTTACGCGCAGGTGTGTTGGCATCCGCGTCGCAGCCGAGTTGGAGTCTGTCGCCCCGCTACTCTAGTTCGAGAGTCTACATCCCTCCCTTTCTATCGCTCTGTCTCCCTCTTCTCTGCTTCATGTCAGGTCTGGCAAAAGCCTGCGACGCTTTGGTGTCTGTATGTGTGGAGTGACTAATTAGCTGGGAAGTCTCGTTGGACTGAAACTTGACTTATTGGGAGGGGCACTCTAGGTGGTGCCAGGAGAGAGGAGAGACGTCGTACAGAGGCTTCAGTGCTCACTGAGCGAGCATCTTTCTTATTGTACTGGCGAGTCAAGGCTACTCAGGCAACCACCATCCGGATAAAACTGCAAAAGCGCAACATGGAGGGGCATGGAGGCTATGGAGCAAGGGACAAGCTCCTTCAATTGGACAGAGTGAACGATTGTGGTGCAGGAAGATGGAGTAAAGTATAGTTGCGCAGACCATGATCACCTGCAGTTTGCGAGGTAGAGTGATTTCGGAGTAGTTATTTTCTGTGTATTTGGCTGATGAGCTGCATTTATGCTACTACGAAGACTGGTTTTGGTGCAGCTTATGTTCTCCGACACAGTTTATCATTGCTTGCATTGCGACTCAAGTCTTGGAGCGAGTTTTCTTTTAATTTGTCTCCCTCCTGAGAATTACGACATTAATCTGTTGAGCACTCTTGAATGTTTGAGAATGTTGAGGTTCAATAGTTTGAACTGCATACTGAGAGCTTACTTCACAAAACTCCAGGAAGAAATCTTCTCCCAGGTCTAAAACATTTAGCACCTTCAGTTCCATTTTAGCAGTGACGTAATTTCAAGTATCGTGCCTAGGCACTACTCGTCAGTGCGCGTCACAGATCTTTACATGCCCATTCTTGACATCTTTAGGACATGCGTGAAAAGAATTTTAGCGGATTGCGAATAATATTAAATAATACGCGTCCTAGCTGGTCGCAATTATGTTACAGATCCGTCTTTTGGATTATTATTAGTGTAGAAATGGATCATTGAAGTGGACCTGTCTTCTAAGGTTTCCGTGTCACTCGCCCTCGTGATGGTTTCTTCGGGACACGAAACAGAGCAGCACCCTATTCTTAGCGTTCGTGAGTTCATTAAGTTATGAAAGAAATGTCAAGCTTTGAAGAATTTGACATTTTCCCAGTCCTGACGTGTTCGTAGTATTTGACGTGGTCGCCGCGTGTTTGAAATCCGAACTGCTTTAGGATTGAATGGATCGGTCCATCTGAGAATGCCAATAGTGTTCGTTCTTGTCCACCGCTATTCCCTCAAGGAAGAGTTCATCCTTAACGCGCGCAACTATGTCCGAAATGAGTTTGTTGATGTTTTCGTTTGGACTGAATGCAGGGTGGTCTTCGATTGAATCTTGCTTGGTGAATGTGAAGCACGCCTTTAGAATTTGACGCCACTGCAACAACTTGGTGGAAGCCACTTCGGAGGCCAAGATGAAGCCACCTGCGCCCGTGGATTGAACGGCCTCAACTATCACAAGTGAAGGTAACCTCTAAGTGATTATCTGACAGTCAAGGAGTAGTGTTTGCCGAGCGGTTGGTGAGGTGGGCAGTAGGCCAAGTTCACTTGAGTGGAGGTTCGATTCCGATTCTGGAAAAAAAATTCATGTTTTATTTGTCTGGTTAGAGGAACCTAATGAATACGTCAACAATGTTATCAGTCGCAGGGTTTCAGTCAAGAAACCCTGCTTGGTGATACTTTGAACCGACGAGATCTGTTAGTATGAGTCAGTTTTTTCTGCACCTTTGGCGTCAAATTACTCGTAACCATTTCATGTGATCTGTTACCACGTTGCAGGTTTAAGTTGCGTCGCCAGAAAATTGTACGAAACGACATTAGGAAAATAATAAAAAGAAAAAGAAACAAACCAGCAAGCCAGCATCAATTGGTTTCTGAAGCTCAAATCCCGACCGGATGGAATGGTGGTCTCGAGACAGGTGCAGGAGCAATGTGAAGCTGAGAGCGGGAATTGAAATGATGGGTGACGGTGGATTGATTCCAGTTTCGTTAGTGCAGAGACAGTGTTCAAGTTCGTAACAGAAAAAGGGCATGGCCGGGAGGCTCTGGATTTGGGGTAAAGACTGCTGCAAAATCAAATCACACATGAGGGAGAGATGGAACATGCTTGGTCAATTATTATGGCAGTATTAGCTGCATCACTGCCAACCCTATTCCTTGTGCTTTTCATCTACTCATATGCTAGAAAATTATGGAGGAAGTATTTTGTAACAGAGCCAGAACCGTTGCCTATAGACAGGCGTGATGCGGCACTCAAACGTAGCGCCCTCATGGCCAGTTTCTGGCGGAGCAGCTTACCTTTGAGGGCCTTTCAATGGAGCGAACACCCTTCGCATGTGATTACGGCTCTGGAGCATGGATGGGCCGCATTTTCATTTTCCTATGCTACTTCTGCAATGGGAGCCTTCGCAACTCCTGTGCACCAAATGTGGGAGATGTGTTGTTCTTGCTCGGCTATGAAATTCTGCGCACCAGAGATCAGTTGGATGTCAAACGGCACGGGGGAATGCTTGCAACAAATTCGTTTGAATCCAGGATTGCGATCCAGCAAGGATGGCTGTGTGCTGCCCGTGCAAGCACTACAAACAGCCCTACCTCTGCCTGGCCCTATTCTCGGTCCCTGCCCTTACCCTCAAGATGCTTATTTTGAGCTTTGTATTTTAGCTTCTGGAAACGAGTTGAGCTCAGAACACAGCTCTTTGGCTGGAAGTGAGCGGGTGAAGCTCATTGCCCAAGCTTTGACATCAGATCGGTATCAAAGAGGCCAGAGTTTGACAGAATTTAATGATATCGAGTTTTGTCGGAAGTTAGATACTCAGCTGAAGGGCAATGCAGATTTGGACAACGAAAAAAACTTGAGCTCCAAACATTTGACTGCACCTAAGAACGAGCAGGAAGGAGATCTCGAACACTCAAGCGAAGTGGACCAAATTGACTGGGATGAACTCCTCTCAGTTGGCCTTGCAGGTGCAGAAGCTCCACCCTTTCGTCTTCTAGGCTTCGATCCAGGCTCTGTCGGATTTTTATCGGCAGACGGCCAATGCTATGTCAATGGTCAGTTACCATCGTCTCTCTCAACTTGTACTTATTCCAATTCTCACAATTCACCAATTGTACGAACACAAAATACATAAAATTGTTTATGTTGCGCATACTCTTTGAATGCTATTAAAGACCTATTTTCAAGTTGCTCTCCTATCTTGCTCTGATTTGACCAGGTATGCCACATCTACAAGGCAAGGATCTCGTGCCAACTAAAGGTCGACCGTGGGGAACAGTGAAGACAACAGTAGGATGTGGATTTGACCCTCGAGTGAAGAGAGTCTACTTCACCATAAACGGTGAGCTGGTTCACGAAGCCCTGTTGAAGAGTGCTGATTTCAGCAATCCGCTCTACCCAACTATAGCCAGCAACTATGACGTGACAGTTTTGATAAACCTAGGCCAGAAATCATTTGAGTATGCCCCTGCAAACATCACCAGAGTTGCAAACCCATGCTGCCGTATCCTACAGGCGAGACCCAGCAAGAATGGTTCATTCTTTGATGATGACCTGAGTTCTGACCTCTTCTCGATGGGCAGGTTTGACTCCCAATGGTTGTCAGACTTGGAGTATACCAATACTCAGGAACTCCATCGCCATGACCATTCAGAAGCAGAATCAGATTTGTTTGAGATTGTTTTAGATGGGCATAGTTTGAAAAGATAGAACGCTTACCAGGTTTCCAGCGCCTCTTTCTATACAAGTTGAATAGTTGTGCAAATACAATCATGAGTTACATAATAGTAACTTCTTAGTCACTAGCGTTGCCAATTTAGGCAGCATGTGAATTTGTGATTCGTCTCCATACACGTTATCTTCCGGAGCAAGCCTAAGTTTGCGCGTTGCATGCATCAGTGCTGTCTACTTTCACTCAGCTTCTTCCTCTTGCGGTACCTCTACTTGGTTTTAAGTCTTGAGCACCGTTGGAGGACCCTTAGGAGAAGGTTTCAAGTGAAGAATTATAATCTCTGATTCTGCTGCTCCGACGTCTGAACACTTTCCAACCCATCCCCAGATTTGGAAGAAAAGAATACAAATCGGAGTTGCAGTGACCATAGAATACGACCATCCGTGTTGCTTCTGCAAAATCGAATCAGAGAGTATCAAAGAGCGGGTCTGTATTGCCGAACCCCTCATTGATGCTTCAGTCTTTTCTTAAGGTGACTCCCTGGCTTATTGCTACCGTTTGTAAGTAGGGATAATACAATAGGTACTTTCTGAAGGTACGTTTTATTGTATCACGACGCCCTAAATGAAGTTTGTCTGTGAAGTTGAAACCTTGCAGCGTCTAAGTACGTTGTTCAAGTACCCATCAGCAGAACCACGATAAATATTTTTTCCTAGAGATATTCCGAGACACATTACATGTCTCGTGTCATTTGATTTTTATGATCCAATCTTGGGTTCGCTGTCAGTTCTGGAAAGATGGCCTGACCGGTCAACGCAAGTTCCAGTGTTTGTGAAGCATCTCTTGTTTCCACTGTATATAATTTTAATTTAAGAAAATGCAGTGTAATTGCACAGGTCAACCTGTCGCATTTCAGTCTGTCAGATGGCCCAATTCATCAGTCAATTAAAACTTTATTGGTCTTTGATATTGAAAGGTGGACGACACGTTGGTCGGGTCGCGATGAAGCGCCGGAGGAGCTCTCACGTCTGTGTTGAGCCCATGTAGGCGAAGATCTTAGATCCATCGCGACCAAGCATACCCTGTGGTCCAATTTCCTCTGCGCACTAGTATAAACCTAGTGATCTACCCTTGTGAACCTCGATAAGCGAGATTCCGAGCTCCAGAGCTTAGTGGGACTGAATTTCGAGATTAGGTTAGCAAGGTTTAGGGTCTAAACACCATGGATGGGAAAACGACCTAAGTGGACACATTGCGAGCACGCATGGCCCACGCCCCAATTGCTCCCTCGCAGTCCGAGGGAGACAAAGGGCGTGCACAAGCCTCGAGAGATGAGGAGATCGAGCCAGAGCTTGTCGCAGTGGTGACTAGTATGGGGCAGAATGACAAGATCCACCCAACCCGAGCGGCAACAGGGGAAGTATTACCCGAGGGATTCTCTTGGAGCTACACGGAATTCCCACTGTGCAACAATGTACTTGACGTCGAAGTAAACCAGGCCATTGTCAAAAAAGACTCGGAGTACCTCCAAAAACACGCCATCGTTGCGTACTTCGTAGGAGGTAAGCAATTTCAGATGGCCATAGCTGGGTGGGTAGATTCTTTACAAAAGCAAGTGGGTGACTGGGTGGAGGTAGGGCGAAATTTGGGCCCAGGTTTTTTCCAGATTATCAGCCATCGGCCCGCAATCACCCAAAAATTGTTGATGCTTACGCCACTTAAGTCTTGCTGGAGGACGTGCATCCTTCAAACCTAAACCTCGGGTTTCAACGCCTCGCAGCTCGCGGGGCTGAAGGTTCCAACTTGGGTCACGCTTAAGAATATCCTTGGTTAGTTTCTTGAGGTGGCTGCACAGATGGCCAAGGATTTAGGTGAACTTCTCGGGAGCGACAAGCAAAACTCCACTTTGGCTGATCAGAGATTTTGCATCGGCCTTACCTCAGGCTTGGGGTGGAAGACCTCCCTTTCCGTCACCAATGTCGGGACTGGAGAAAAAGCTGTAATCCTCACAGATTACTGCATTCTATCCATTCAGTGCCGATTTTGCCTGTCCACGAATCACCTGGTCAAGAATTGCGGGGGCCTGCTAAGTAAAAGGGAAGAGAATATTGCACAGGGTGATTGAATGAGAGCTGGGCGGCAGTCCCATGTCTCTAGTGACTCTATTCTGCCGCCAGCCCCCCTGATTGGTGAAGGAGTTAATTCCACGATCTTGGTGAGTAGTTCCAGTGGATCAGGGGTAGAGGGAGTAGCGACGGGCTCTCGGGCTCTCAGGACACGGTTCCATAGCCATTGTTGCATCAAGGAAACCGCTCAATCCCCGAAATCTTCACGAGAAACTTCCGACTGGGAGTGTAACGGCTGGGAAAAGGTACATCGAGGAACAAAGGTCCGAGGCCCTTCGTAGTTCAAAATTCAGAAGACTCAAGAAAAGAGGGAGGCCTGTCGATGACGTGATCAGGCTGCATGTGCAATAGTGAACCCAATCATACAAGAAGAGGCAAATCGCTCCCCTATCTCACCCCCTCAGTGTCGAAAGTGCACCTCCACCTCCGGTACCCGCCCCACCCCAAGATTGATTAGCCTTGTGCTGGTCGTGTTAGACTCAAGCGCTCTTGATGACCCCGGCCCCGATCATGGTTAGTCTGTCGCTGGTAGCATGGACTGGTCTACGGAGGTACGATCGAACCCAGAGGAGGAAGGTCAATCGATACCACTAGCTCATCCACTTCCCCCTCCACCATAGAGGGCTCCCTTCTCTCAAGGGCTACTGAATCTAGTCGACTCTAGGGGTGTCCAAAGCCATCGCTTGCAACTATCCTCCGACAGTGGGCCAAACTCTCAACCTGCTAGCTCGCCCCTCCCTCGCTCTCAACACGCCCTGGTCGAGGGACAAAGAGAAGAAATGGAGGATTTACAGAACGGCCTACGCAGCAGCTAGGATGTCCCTGCCAGAATGGTGATTGACCTCAATGGCCTTGCTCCATCATCTCAATCCATGGTGTTTGGTTGTGTGGGAGATGCATCGGCGGCGTATCCACCTCATCTCCTGGTATACACTCACCGTGAGGACATCTCGTCGGCGGCTTCAACTCCCTGCTCCTGCTCCATTACGCCTTTGGGCACCTGTGTTCCGGAGTACCTCCACTCCCAGTTCATGGAGTGGCTCCGCGAGAGGGATCTGGTTTCCTTCAATTGGGGCTTTCTCACCCCTCAAGCTCGGCGACTTATCGACTTTCAGCTCCAATGGCATCAAGAACTGTCGGAGTTAACTTGTCGCCAGTGTTCAACAATCCTATATACTTGTCGCAGTAATCCGAAGGCGAGCGCACGATTTGAGTCGATTAAAGGCCCTCTATTATTTCTACATAACCCCCTTCCTCAGCCATTATGAAGTTCACCCTTATAACTCAAAATGTCCAGGGCATGAACTGCTCCCAGAAAGTGAGTATTGTACGGAATTATTATCATGCTCTCATTCCGCATGTAGATGTCTTGTGCTTTCAAGAGCACAAGCTAAGAGGTGATAAGTTGATCACGTTAAAAAGTTCTTTATGGCCAAAGGAGGGGGGTTCTTTGCTGCGGTAGCTGCGGTAGGATATTGCCATGAGCCATCTGATGTAGGTGCGGGCCAAGGAGGTGTATGTCTCTTGGTAGCTCCACACATTGTTCATTTGGTTGAGGATTCCGAGCACTCCCGTTGCGGGCGTGTTTAATGGGTCCGGCTCTCTGGCACGCCCATGCGGGACCTTGCAATCCTCAATGTTTACGCATCTACGGGGGTTGGGGAGAGAATGGAGCTTTGGACAGAACTCCTCTCAAACCTTCTGAGAAATTGCAGATGGGTCCTCTGCGGCGACTGGAACGTCGTCGAGAGAAGACCCGATAAATCTAATGAGTGCAGAATAATAATGATGATGGTGGAGAAACTGGCGTTTAAAGAACTAACCGCGGCCTTGAATGTAGCAGATCGGTTCCCGCCTAGTAACCCGATTCGTTTCTTGGGGGATAACAAAAGGAGGGATGGTGCGTGCATACTAGCTAGACTAGACCGTATATACACCTTTCAATCCATGGGTGCGGGCCCGCAGCCGGTCATTGATTATTTTATCAAGAGTGATTGCAACCACTCCGACCACCTCCCTGTGTGAGGTTAGATCATAATGCGGGTGGAAGTGAAATAGAAAAGTCAACATGTGAGATGAGTAGTTGATACCTCGCTTTAGCGAAGGTTGCTCAAGGAATCACCGCGATTTGGCTATCCAACCCCAATTTAGGCTTCATTGAGAAGTTGCGCCGAGCGATTAAATATTACAAAGAGTTTTGCTTGCGCAAGGCTAAGGAACAGTGGCACTCCGAGGCTACTTTACACTCCACCTTGTCTTCTGCAGTTACCCCCCTCCAAGTTGATCCGCTTGACCTGGCTCACCACGCTCAGCTAAGCTATGTTGCGGACCAATTACAAGCACATGAACAAAGGCCAGCAGAAGGGCGTCGGATCTGCAACCGAGTCAAATGGCTCAAGGTCGGGGATACGGGCTTATCGGAGTTTTTCAAAATCACCAGAGATCACTCCGGAGCATCCAGCATTACTGAACTCGTAGATGAGCAGGATACTGTATTTACGGATCAGGCAGATCTAGAACGACTATGCGGATCATACTATGAAAAGTTGTATAAGGCCAAGTCCCAATCAGCAGAACAAGATGGAGTCATGGCCCAAATCTATGTTGGACTCTCAGATCGCCTCGCTCCGTCCTGTAAAGCGGCCCTCAGTGCTCTAATTCGGATGAGCGAACTAGAAGGTGCTCTGAAGAGCATGTCGGCAGGGCGGGCTCTGGGCCTCGACAGCGCCATCACCGAATTTTTTAAAACTTTTTGGTTCCTAATCAAAGATCAAGGACCATGATCGAGAAAGCGTGCAGGAACTAGAGGTTGCTGGCAGGAGTCACGAGAGGGCTCATATCGTTGCTGCATAAGAGGGAGGAGGAGGGGGGGGGCAAGATCATCTCACCAATTGCAGACCCATCACGTTGTTCAACGTGGCATACAATTTTTTTATCAAAGCGTTGCAGCTACGCCTACAACCTGTCCTGATAGAGATGACCTGTCCTGATAGAGATGACCAGTCCTGATCAATCAACATTCTTGCCGACGCGTTTTATTCTTGACAATATACTGTTTACACATAGAAACATCGATTGGGCTGCACACACCAAATAGACTCTCATATTTCTGAAGCTGGATTTCAATGAGGCCTATGATATGGTTGGGTGACCATTCTTTTTCCAAGCTATGGCCACTTTCGGTCTTCCAGAGGAGTTCATCTCCATGACTTGTCTCCTCTTTTAAGATGCCACCGCGAATGTTAAAGTAAATGGCTCCCTCTCCCCAACTTTTAGCATTGAACATGGGGTGTGCCAGGGCTGCCTCTTTGCGCCTTACTTCTTTCTTGTAATAGTAGAGGCTCTGAATTCACTAGTCAAGGAAAGGGTCACAGCCGGACGAATCAAAGGTATTGGTCTCCTCGTTGAAGGTAAACAACAAACTATCATCCAGTACGTCAATGACACATCACTTACCATTGCGGGTGATGAGTCCTCAGTGCTGGAAACCATTTGTAATATGGCGAGGTTCTGTCACGGCTCGAGGCTAATTCTGAACTGGGAAAAGTAACAAGGTTATTGGCAAGATGGTAGGTCCACGAGCCGCTCACAGCGGACCGACCACCTTGGGGTTACATGGGTGGATGAGGCCTCAATCAGCACCCTACTAGGAACCCTCTTCGAGTGTCACCTTTCCATGCCGAACGTTGATGAATACCTTAAGTCTTGGATTGAGAAGAAACTACGATATTATTGCTCTACAAAAATCAATACCACGGGCCAGGGGGTGACAGTTAACAAAATTCTCTTATCATCCC